CCTGCCTCAGCCTCCTGAGTAGCTGGGACTACAGGCACGCGCCACCATGCCCAGCTAATTTTTTGTAGTTTTAGTAGAGATGGGGTTTCACCGTGTTGACCAGGATGGTCTTGATCTCTTGACCTCGTGATCCACCCGCCTCGGCCTCCCAAAGTGCTGGGATTACAAGCTTGAGCCACCGCGCCCGGCCAAATTTTGACTTCTATTATGGTTCATCTTTGACAAAAATTTATGTTTCAACTAAATTTTTAAAACAATAGTTTTAGAAATTTGGAGATAGTTTCTGTTACCTGTGCTTTATTTATAAGATTAACTTTTTTTTTTTGAGATGGAGTTTCGCTCTTGTTGCCTAGGCTGGAGAGCAGTGTTGTGATCTTGGCTCACTGCAACCTCTACCTCCCGGGTTCAAGCCCCCCTGAGTAGCTGGGATTACAGGCATGTACCACCGGCCAGGCTAATTTTGTATTTTTAGTAGAGATGAGGTTTCTCTATGTTGGTCAGGCATGTCTCGAACTCGCTACCTCAGGTGATCTGCCTGCCTCAGCCTCCCAAAGTGTTGGGATTACAGGCATGGCCCTATAAGATTAACTTTTAACATCTTTATGTGCCAGTATGGCATTGTCTCTGAAAGATATTGTTCTGGACATTATTCCCTGTTGTAGCATGTGATGGTGGTACAGGTCTCTTTCCCAGTTTTCTAGAGACCTATTTCTAAATAAAGAAGCTACCATTTTTGAAATTCTTAGATTTTTATTATGTTTATCCTGAACATATATTGCTTTCTTAAGACATAATCAGATCATTAAAATTTATTTAAAATGCATCTCTTTAATTCAGATGAACACTTACTGAGTACATACTATGTGTCAGACCCTGTGCCTGTCACTGGAAACACCGGTGAGCCAGACAGACAACCTCCTAAACCTGATATTCAAGGAGGGAGTCAGGATAGGGGTGGGTAAATAAGAATACGTATATAAAGGAATGAAGGCAGAAGGTATATTCAGTTTTTACATATTTTCCTCCTCCCCTTCACCTTGGTAATCTTTTTTGATCCCGTAAATCAGTGACAGACATTTACCTGGGATAATGAATCTGATATCATTAGCATCTTTAGCTTTTTATGTGAAAACTAATAGATTTTACAATGAAAGTGATGTGTTAACTTATGGGTTTTGTTTGTTTATTTGTTTTTGTGACAGAGTCTCACTGTGTCACCCAGGCTGGAGTGCAAGCAGCCTCCGCCTCCCAGGTTCAAGTGATTTTCGTGCCTCCCAAGAAGCTGGAATTACAGGCCTTTGCCACCACGCCCAGCTAAATTTTGTATTTTTAGTAGAAACAGGGTAGAGGATCTGTCTACCTCGGTCTCCCAGAGTGCTGGGATTACAGGCTTGAGCCGGTGTGCCGGCCAACATATGAATTTTTAAATGAATTTGGTGTTTAGAACAGCATGTCCCAGTGTATTATTTTTGTCATCCAGATTTACTTTCTGTATAGAGAATTCCACAATAGGAGGTCTCACTCCCATGCATACATCTAATTTACTTTGTCTTAGATTCTCTTTAAAGTTAGTAGTGGCTTTTCAGGTAGCTTTCTAGAAAGGACATTTAAATTTAACTGGATTTTTAAAAGCTTGTTATTGGATTGCAATTTCCGCCTCCTGGGTTCAAGCAATTCTCCTGCCTCAGCCTCCTAAGTAGCTGGGATTATAGGCATGAACCACCATGCCCAGCCAATTTTATATTTTTTGCAGAGATGGGATTATACTGTGTTGGCCAGGCTGGGCTCAAACTCCTGACCTCAGGTGATTCACCCATCTTAGTCTCTTAAAATGCTGGGATTACAGGCTTGAGCCACCATGCCTGGCCTAGGATTGTGGCAGTTTTATTATGAAAATATAAACATTTGTGAGGTTTAGTTCTTCCCTCTTATGTAACTTTATGCAACTTGAAATTGGTTAAGCAAATGTGAAGTAATTCCACAGATACTATTAGTTGTAATTACTTTTTATTTTTCATCTATTTATTTATTTTTTTGAGACGGAGTATCATTCTTTTTACCCAGGCTGGAGTGCAATGGCGCGATCTCGGCTCACCGCAACCTCTGCCTCCTGGGTTCAAGCAATTCTCCTGCCTCAGCCTCCCAAGTAGCTGGGACTACAGGCACGTGCCACCATGCCCAGCTAATTTTTGTATTTTTGGTAGAGACAGGGTTTCACCATGTTGACCAGGATGGTCTCGATCTCTTGCCCTCGTGATCCACCCGCCTCGGCCTCCCAAAGTGCTGGGATCTTAGGCGTGAGCCACCGCGCCCAGTCTATTTTTCATTTTTTGAGATGGAGTCTCACTCTGTCGCTTAGGCTGGAGTACAGAGGCGCAATCTTGGCTTACTGCAGCCTCTGCCTCCCTGGTTCAAGGGATTCTCCTTTCTCAGCCTCTCGAGTAGCTAGGATTACAAGCTTCCGTGACCACACCCAGCAATTTTTTGTATTTTAGTAGAGCTGAGGTTTCACTATGTTAGCCAGGCTGGTCTCGAACTCTTAACCTTGTGATCTGCCCGCCTCAGCCTCCCAAAGTTCTGGGATTACAGGTGTGAGCCACCGCACCTGGCCTGTTGTTATTACTTTAAAAGACGCTATACAGGCTTCTGGCCAAAGAGTGTATGTATAGTATTTAGGAGAAAGATAAGAAAGGGGGATATAGAATATAGATCTGTTTAGAGGAAAACAATTAAGTTGATTATTCTTAGAACCACCATTGACTTTGCTTTGCATGGTTTCTGGGTTAGCATGTAAATGTGTTCTGGAGTGACTAAAATTGTAGATCTTTTTGTTGAATAACAGTGTAATTTAATGTAATCCTAATGTAATGTTCTGTAATTAGACTTTGGTAATGTGGAAGGCAGCAAATTGCTTTCAAGATATCTAGCCTCAAGAGATTTTGTTGAAGCAGATATTAAGCTGTTCTTTCAGGCATTCAGAATATGAAGATTTGGAAGCTTACTTGATTAGTGGACTTAAAAACAAACTGCCACTTTTTATGGAATATCTATCAAGATTTTAAAATTACAAGCCTTTAATATTTTGTTAGATTAGGTGTAGCCATTAATTTTCTTCTGTCTAAGTGGGTAAACTAAATCATGGATGATGCAGAATTGTATTCCTTTTAGTCAAATGATAAAAGAAATACTGAGTGCTTAATTCATTCCTATATACATTAAACTATGTGCAAAGTATTATGCTAAGTATTGAGGGGACTATACAGATGAGGAAAACATTGTATATTTCTCAAGGAGCCTGTAGTTCACTAGGGGAGAAGAACATCTAGCTAAATGATGAGAATTGAAAGCAAAATAAAAGCCTAATGAATGAGTTGTAATAGGATGTTGTAGTTACTAGGATGTAACAGTTACTAGAATATAACAGCTTTTAAGTTAGGACTAGGAAGTATTTCCACAAGCAGAATAAGGAGTTCTATATAGGAAGAACAACATTAAGACATTTAAGTATGGAAATGTGTGTTGAGTTCAAGGATACCAAGTTCAATGTGAACTGTATGAAATAAAGTGGTAAAGTGGACCCGATAGTCAAGAATGCTATACTAACACATTTGGACTTTATTTTGTGGGGAGCAAGGAGCCAGTGAAAAAGTTTTAACTGGGCAAGTGACATAAACTCAGATTTATATTTAGAAAGATAATTTTTTTTTTTTTTTTTGAGACAAGGTCTGGCTCTATTGCCCAGGCTGGAGAGCAGGGTGGTGCAATCTCAGCTCACTGCAACTTCCTCCTCCTGGCTCAAGCCATCCTCCTGCCTCAGCTTCCTGAGTAGTTGGGACTACAGGTGTATACCAGCATACCCAGCGAATTTTTTTATTTTTTGTAGAGATGGGGTTTCTCCATGTTGCCCAGGCTGATCTTGAACTCATGTGCTCAAGTCCTCCACCTGCCTTGGCCTCCCAAAGTGCTGGAATTATAGGTATGAGTCACCACGCCTAGCCTAGAAAGATAGTTTCCTGAGTAGTGTGAATCATGAACTGTTTCAGCGTAGCTGCCAAACCATGCCACTCTGCAGTGTTTCAGGTGGGTTTACTTACGGGTGAGGAGACCATATCAAGCCACGCGCTTTTATCCCTTGTAAGGTTTGATTAAATTTCTGATTTCCTTAGCCAGCTATATAGAATCTCTGTCTGAGGGGAAGTGGATAGGAGAAAATATGAACACATTTCAACTTGGATTCTTTTGGCCTGCAGTGTTACTCTGCTTGCAAAGCTTAATTTTTGCTACACAGCTACTCTTTTTTGGGGAGGTGGGTACAGGGACAAGGTCATGCTCTGCCAGCCAGGCTGGATCATGCTGGGGCATGATCATGGTTCACTGCAGTCTCGACCTCCTGGGCTCAAGAGATCCTCTCACCTCAGCCTCCCAAGTAGCTGGAACCACAGGCATGCACACCACCACACCTGGCTAATTTTTTTTTTTTATTTTTATTTTTTTTATTTTTATTTTTATTTTTATTTTTTTTATTTATTTATTTTTTTGAGACGGAGTTTCGCTCTTGTTACCCAGGCTGGAGTGCAATGGCGCGATCTCGGCTCACCGCAACCTCCGCCTCCTGGGTTCAGGCAATTCTCCTGCCTCAGCCTCCTGAGCAACTGGGACTACAGGCACGTGCCACCATGCCCAGCTAATTTTTTGTATTTTTTAGTAGAGACGGGGTTTCACCATGTTGACCAGGATGGTCTTGATCTCTTGACCTTGTGATCCACCCGCCTCGGCCTCCCAAAGTGCTGGGATTACAGGCTTGAGCCACCGCGCCCGGCCTTTTTTTTTATTTTTATTTTTAGAGACAGGTTCTTCTATGTTTCCTAGGCTGTTCTTGAACTCCTGCCTGTAATCCCAAAGTGCTAGGATTATAGGCATGAACCACTGTGCCTGGCCTTGCTATCCTTTCATGTAGACTCACAACGCCATTCCAGACTGAGAAATGTTTAAAACACCTGACCTGCCAAATGTATGTCAGTAGGTCTTCATTTTTGTCTAGGGGAAGAAAGCAGATCTCACTGTTCAGGTGTCTGCCTCAGCTTTCTAGTATTTAGGAAGCATGATTTCCTTTACTATTTTTTGTTGGTTTTTAAAGTTGGGGTAATCTTGAAAATTATGATCTTGTTATGATCATAACAAGACATTGTAATGACACTGAAGTTGCTTAGAAGGATCAGAATTAATCAGTTTGAATTTCATCACTTCCTGTTGGCACTCAGCTCTGATTATCAGTAAATGACAAAATAGTTACATGAATGCAGTGGAAGGAAGCAGAGCAGTAGATACCCACAAGATGGGAGATTGATCCTAAATTGTCAGGTTGATTTTTCTGCAATCCGAAATACTGAATTTTAATTTTTTTTTAAAAGAGGAACCTGCCTTAGGATGAATTTTTATTGTAGTATATTTTCTTTTGCTTTTATTTCCTACCCTATTGTGAATTTATATGTGTTGATGGCAAATTCACTTAAAACAATAAGGGGTATAAATCTGGAAGTTATGGGCCTGATTAGCCAGTGGTTTGGATCAAGTTCTAATTGGAGCATACCATTAGAATTGCTTTTAGTTTCCCCTGTGCGTTAGTCAGCTTGGGCTGGCATAATGAAATACCAAAGATTGTTGGCTTAAACAACAGAAATTTATTTCTCACAGTTCTAGAGGCTGGGAAATCTAAGATCAAGGTACTGGCAAGGTAGGTTTCATTCTGAGGCCTTATCTTTTGGCTTGATGTGTGTGGCCACGCAGGGAGAGACAGAAAGAGCTCTCTGATATCCCTTCTTATGGGGGCCCTAACTTATAACCTCATCTAACACTAATTACCTCCCAAAGGCCCTGTCTCCCAAGTATTATCACATTGGGGGTTATGACTTCAATGTAAGAATTTAGAGTGGAGGGGGACACTTTAAATGTGTAACACACTACAGTCTGACTCCATGATAATAAATTGTTTTAATACCATGTTTGAAGATGAAATCTTTATGCTTGCTATTTAGTTTGTATATAAATTTCTTCCCTTGAGAAACTAATAGTCATCAGCATCTTTTAGCCAATGTGTTTACATTTTTCATATTCAAACAGTCAAAATCTATAGAATGTTTTCATTCCGAAGCCTACCAAATCCAAATTGTTCTTTGCACGGAGAAAGCAAGCAGTAAACAGAACCAGATCTGGACATATTTTGCGCTAGCTTATTCCTACCTTTTGGCTGTGCTAAAGAGACAGGTAACAATGTCAGATTCTGGGAAACAACTCTGTCCTCTGCTTCCTTTTAAAAAATAAAACGAGACTGAAATTTCTATTGCACTTATTTTTCTTAATATAGAAACTGATAAATTTTCTTTTTCTTTTTTTTTTTTTTTTTTGAGACAAGGCCTTGCTCTGTCACCCAGACTGGAGTGCAGTGGCTTGAGGGTGGCTCACTGTAGCCTTGACCTTCTGGGCTCAAGCAATCCTCCTACCTCAGCCTCCTGAGTAGCTAGAACTACAGGCACACACCATCACACCCAGCTAATTTTTTTTAGAAATAGGGTTTCACCATGTTACCCGGGCTAGTCTCAAATTCCTGGACTTACCTCAGGCTTCCAATGTGGTGGGATTACAGGTGTGAGCCACTGCACCTGGCCAGTAAACTTAATTTTCTTTGTAGTAGTGAAGATCATTAAAAAACATTGCTGTTACTTTTAAAAATAATGTGAATAGGTTTTTTTTTTTCTGTTTGTTTTCATTTTTTTGAGACAGAATCTTATTCAGTTGCCCAGGCTGGAGTGGAGTGGTGCAATCTCAGGCCACTGCAACCTCTGCCTCCTGGGTTCAAGCCATTCTCCTGCCTCAGACTCCTGAGTAGCTAGGACCACAGGTGTGTGCTACCACACCTGCTAATTTTTGTATTTTTAGTGGAGATGGGACTTTACCTCATTGGCCAGGCTGGTCTCAAACTCCCGACTTCAAGTGATCTGCTTGCCTTGGCCTCCCAAAGTGCTGAGTTAGAGGCATGAGCCACTGCACCTGGCTTTTTTTTTTTTTTTTTTCTTTTTTCTTTTTTTTTTTTAAATTGAAACAGTCTTGCTCTGTTGCCCAGGCTGGAGTGCAGTGATATGATCTTGGTTCCCTGCAACCTCTGCCTCCACCTCCCCCTTTCAAACAATTCTCGTGTCTCAGCTACCTAAGTAGCTGGGATTATAGGTGTGTGCTACCATATTTTTAGTTGAGATGGGGTTTTGCCATGTTGGCCAGGCTGGTCTTGAACCATACTTGGCCAGATCTTATTTTTAACAGCAGTTTTAGGTTCATATCAAAATTGAGCAGAAAGTATGAAGAGTTTGCATACACTCTATGCCGTAGACACACATGACTGCCTCACTATCAACATCTGATGTTAGAATGGTACATTTATTACAATAGGTGAACCTACATTGACACATCATTACCTCCCAAAGTTCATAATTTAAATTAGGGTTCATTCTTTGTGTTGTACATTCTATGGGTTTTGACAGATGTGCAATGTACATGTGTTCACCATCATAGTATACAAAATAGTTTCACTGCCTTGAAAATCTGCTTCTGTTCATTCCTTCCTCCTCCTCCCCCTCACCAGCAACTGCTTATCTGTGTACTGTTTTCATAGTTTTGCCTTTCTTAGAATATTATATTATTTGAATTATATGGGATGTAGCCTTTTCAGATTGTCTCTTCCACTTAGTAATATACATTTAATATACCTCCGTGGCTTTTCCTGGCTTGATACTCATTTCTGGTTTGTTTTTTTTTTTTGAGACAGAGTCTCCCTCTCTCGCCCTGGCTGATGTGCAGTAGTGTGACCTTGGCTCACTGCCATCTTCGCTTCCCAGGTTCAAGTGGTTGTCCTGCCTCAGCCTCCCGAGTAGCTGGAATTACAGGTGCCCACCACCATGTTCAGCTAATTTTTGTATTAGTAGAGACAGAGTTTTACCATATTGGCCAGGCTGGTCTCGAACTCCTGACCTTGTGATCTACCCACCTTGGCCTCCCAAAGTGCCGGGATTACAGGTGTGAGCCACTGTGCCTGGCCAGCTAATTTCTTTTTAGCATTAGATAATACTCCATTATCTGATATGTCACAGTTTATCCATTTACCTACTGAAGGGCATCTTGGTTGCTTCCAAGTTTTGACAGTTCTAACTGCTGCAGACATCCAAATGCATAGGACAAGTATGTGTAGTTTTGTGTAAAACTACCAAACTGTCTTCCAAAGTGGCTGTGCAATTTTTGCATTTCTGCCAGCAATGAATATGAGTTACTATTGCTCCACATCCTTGCCAACATTTGGTGCACCAGCATTCTAGATTTTGGCTGTTCTAGTCAGTGCATTGGTGTTACTTTTTGACTTGGTGACCTATTTCTTAAAATCCTAGAGACTACTTGATTGTGTGTATTATTTATTAATATTTTTCATGACAGACAATATATCTACCCACAATAGAATCTAATTGTAAGTGCCAAATAGTCTTAGATTATTACATGTCTAAACACATAGCTTTAAAGCATGTCTATACTGATTACAAGTATGGTCATAAATTATTATGGTAATAATAATATCTGTAATCCCGCACTTTGGGAGCCTGGGGCAGGTGGATCACTTGAGGTCAGGGGTTTGAGACCAGCCTGGCCAACATGGTGAAACCTGGTCTCTACTAAAACTACGAAAATTAGCCGGGTATGGTGGCGGACACCTGTAATCCCAGTTGCTCTGGAGGCTGAGGGAGGAGAATTGCATGAACCCAGAAGGCAGAGGTTGCAGTGAGCTGAGAATGCACCACTGCCCTCTAACCTGGACAACAGTGAGACTCTGTCTCAAAAAATGAAAACAAACAAACAAAAAATCGTGTTATGCATATTGACAAGAGCTAGAAGGGAACTAGAATGATTGTGAGAATACCTTTTGTTTTCATTAGAGTTATAGTATTTGTGATAAAGGAAAATTTGCGTAGTTTACTTTTTGGGATATATTGTAAACATTTAATATTGTAGTTGATTTTAGTTATAATCCAGGCCATTTGTGAAGTCTTTGTGACTTTTGATTTTGTTAGACACACATTTATAAATTACTTTCTTGGCTGGGTATGGTGGCTCATGCCTGTAATCCCTGCACTTTGGGAGGCTGAGGCAAGAGGATCAGTTGAGTCCTGGAGTTCAAGACCAATTTGGGCAACTTAGTGAGACCCCATGTCTACAAAAAATTAAAGTTAGCTTGTTGTGGTGATCCATGCCTATAGTCCCAGCTGCTCAGGAGGCTGAGGTGGGAGGATTGCTTGTGTCTGGGAAGTCAAGGCTGCAGTGACTATGCCACTGCACTCCAGCCTGAGCAACAGAGTGAGACCCTGTTTCAAAAAAAAAAATAACAAAAAAGTATTTTCTTTTTTTTTTTTTTTTCAAAAAAGTATTTTCTTAGGCTTGATTATGTTTTACTATGTGTTTGATTGTATTCTGAAAATATGGTAATTTGAGAAGAAATTTAATGTGAGCTACCTTGGATATATTAGTTTTAAATATATTAAAATATATATTAAAATGTTTAAATATATTTTAAATTTATCTATTTTAATTTTTAATTTTAATTTAAATATATATTTAAAATATTAATGATGCCTAAAATACCATCATACCACACCCATGAGTCCATAAATGGGGTTGTTGTTAAATAACTTCTTGCCTTAACATTCTTTTTCTTTCTTTCCTCTCCTTTCCTTTTCCTTTCCTTTTTGTTCCCCATTCACTTCCCCTTCTTTTGTTTTGTTTCTTTGTCTGGATCTTTCCCTTTTTCTTTTCTTTTGTATCTTTGTCTGGATCTTTACATTTTTCTTTTCTTTTGTTTCTTTGTCTGGATCTTGCTGTGTTGCACAAGCTGGGTGCAGTGGCTATTAATCAGGCATGATCATAGTGCACTACATCCTCAAACTCCTGGGCTCAAGTGAGCCACCTGCCTTAGCCTCCCAAGTAGTTTAAAATTCTTTTTTTTTTTTGAGACGGAGTTTCGCTCTTGTTACCCAGGCTGGAGTGCAATGGCGCGATCTCGGCTCACCGCAACCTCCGCCTCCTGGGTTCAGGCAATTCCCCTGCCTCAGCCTCCTGAGTAGCTAGGATTACAGGCACGCGCCACCATGCCCAGCTGATTTTTTATACTTTTAGTAGAGACGGGGTTTCACCATGCTGACCAGGATGGTCTCGATCTCTTGACCTCGTGATCCACCCGCCTCGGCCTCCCAAAGTGCTGGGATTACAGGCTTGAGCCACCACGCCCGGCCCTTAAAATTCTTAAATTCCAATCTTAGACATATTTTTTTAGGTTCCTTTGAAATTTGGCAGAAGTTCTCCTGGATTGCATTTTTCTTTAAACAAAAAAGAATAGGACCTGAAAACACATCTTTCTCATGCCAGTGGTGTACTAGATGATGTTGCAAGGGCAAAGGACCACTGATTTAGAAATTTAAAATTAGCTAGGCATAATGGCATGTGCCTGTAATCTCAGTGTAGGGGAGAAAACATTATTTCTTCTTTCCCTCTTTATTCTTTGTTGAGGTAATCTCCTAAACACAAATTAAAAGCAAAACAAGCAGAAGTTTATTAATGCATGCCATACCCCTCACGTAGAAGAGGACTAAATTCAAAAGTATTATATTTCTCTCTCAAGGCAGTGGCTTAAGGGCCTTGCTTACATAGTATTTTAACAGAGCCGTAAAT